GGTACAGCGATACAACAAATGAAGAATAAAAGATTATTTTCGTCACAACCTATTTGAAGTACGGTGAAATAAAGTCGGGGATTAATAATTATTATTTTAAATTACAATACAAGATTTTCTATAAAAAATATTTCTTATAATAATTTAATAATTATATCCGTAACACATCTTTTAATAAACAAAGTGGCCAATTTTGCCATAACTTGTAATTTATAAGTATACCTAACTAAACCTAAGAATTGTAAATAAAAGAGTAAAGAATTATAAATAATATTTTCAGTTCTTACGCATACCTATACATATTTTTTTTGTAAATAATCAAAGTGGGCCACAAATGGGAATTCTTTCCTAACATTTAATTGCGGACAACTTTCCTAGTGACACTTTTTCGAAAAAGTAAAAATACAGTCCGTACGATATTTGTTGAGATAGAATTCCAAGAAGACCGTCGAGGTAGAAAGATATAGGCGGCGTGGCATTCACCGTAGAAGCTTACAGCATAAGATTGATACATAGTAGAATAAATCTAAAAATACATATTGGACATCCAAAAAAGGTCAGCAGGTTACCGAAATTTCTACTTTCGAATGCCACTCGCTGTTTTTGATAAATAACAAAATGGCGGTTATAAACTGAAAAAAACATGGTCAAATTTGAAATAAATGTAATTATTAATAGTAATTGGGTTTAAACAGCTTAAAAAATTAACAAAAACGCTATACAGAGTTATCCAAAAGTCCCGGTACGCCACAAAAACTTTCAAAGAAAGCATTTTGGGAAAAAATGTTTCATACTGAAATGTAAGGATTTTTCCCTGGCTATCAGATGGTGACCTTGGATTTGACCTTGACTTTGACCTTCAAAGTCATTTGAAGGCCAAGTTAATATGTTTTTTATTGTGGATTTGGAAAGAGCAGGAAATTTTACGTCCAAAGATGACCATGACTTTGACAATGACCTTCAAGGTTAAATGTCGGTCGACTTCCAAAAGTCCCGGTACCTCAGAACTTTCAAAGAATGCATTTGGGAAAAAATGTTCCAGACAAAAGTGAAAGGATTGTTTCCTGGCTATTTGATGGTAACCTTGGATTTGACCTTAACGTTGACCTTCAAGGTAATTTGAAGGTCAAGTTATTTTTTTAAATTTGGTACACCTATTTTTTATTGCGGATTTGGAAAGAGCAGGATATTTTACGTTTAACTATGACCTTGACCAATTCCTTGACCACGTCCTTCAAGGTCAAATTAACCTGACTTTGACATGATCTTGAAGGTCATTGTCAAAGTCGTAGTCAAAGTCGTAGTCAAGGTCGTACTTGAAGGTTAAATTGCAGCTCTTTCCAAATCCGTAATAAAAAACAGGGGTCACCAATGAAAAAACAACTGTGACCTTGGAATAACCTTGAAGGTCAAAGACAAAGTCAAATCCAAGGTCACCTTCAAATAGCCATTGAAAAATCCTTACACTTTCGTCCGAGACTTTTTTTCCCAAAACGCTTTCTTCAAAAGTTTTTCTTCCGTACCGGGACTTTTGGATAACCCTGTATAAAGCAAGTGTTAAGGGTACCAATGATTATTTTTTTTAAATAGGTTACATGGTGGATTCAATATGGCGTATACAATGAAAAATATGTCGGTAATTGCAAAAAACAGACAATTTTGCCATATCTATAGTAAAAAGCAACTCTTCGTTGTTGAATTACATTTGCTGATGCATGGGATGATAAAATTTAATGAAAATTTGAAAATATTATAGTTAAATATGGCCAACTCAAGATGGCGTCTTAATATAGGTTAACTACGCTTATTTTAGGAACATCTTATTTACTGAGTCAAAGAGATGTCAATTCATGTCAAACTGGTATTAGGTGCGGTCTGTAGAATACTAATTTTCTGAGAAAAATCGGTGAATAAAAGCAAACCGATGTTTTGTAAACAGAACTAGTGCCGTTGTACCACATTCTAAATTGTATCTTGGTAAGCGTGACATTTCTCAACTAGAATTAAAATACTTGCTGTATCGTAGGCTTAGAAAAATGCAATTTTTAAACAAGGAAGACCATTTTGTTAACAAAACAAAAGCCAATTATACGACAATATTTAGCTAGTGTCACGTGTGTTGATATAAACAACTTTTTCATATATTATAAATATAGATAAGAAGCAATGTATGCAATTTGCTCAATAATGTGTTGCAAAATGCTAAGTTATGCCAATCAGGTAGTTTACTTCACGATGTACGCTTTCAAGGACGAAGAGTGAAGTAACTAGCAATTGTTTCGTTCGGATATCTTGACGAGGATCTCTGCTTATACTGTATTTTCCATTGGCAAGTGCTGGTTGGTAGTTCAAAAATGAGATATTATTCCGTTTATTTTAATTTGTTTTAGTGCAAATGCAATTAAAGAATACTTGCTATACAGGGTATTCCACGGACCATTTTTTTCTACAAGGAATTTTCTGATCAAAAATAAAAAAATATGAGTGTAGATTCACAAATGCTTTCTTTTTAAGATAGAGAGTAATAAAGTTTTATTATATTATTTACTTACTAGTTGTACCTGTTTAAAATAAAATTCCGTACATTGAGGATCAATGGAATGGTGTAAATTACTATCCAAAATAATCTATAAACTGATACTTTTTTAATCATGTTTCTCTTGTCCCTTCGATTCTTTTATTTCGACGACACTGACATTGTTTTTGAGAAAAAACAACTTTTCTATTGCATCATTTAAGTTTTTGATCTTAAAGTGTTTTGGCTAACTTTAAACAAAAAACTATAATAATGTGATTTCAAGTCTTATTGTATATAAAATACAAATAGAAATAACTATATATAATAGAAATATTATATATATAAACTTAGTTCATACGACCATATTTTTAGTTAGAATGTCCTGTACAAGGTAAATCATGTAACATTCTACCATGGGCGCAGCTTGGGGGCACCCTAGAAGGACCGGTGCCCATCCTAAAAAAAAAGATCTAATATCATCATCTTTGTCATATCGTCGGTGACTGAGTGATTTTTTTTAGAATCAAATAAAAACGTGTTCAAATTTTATAACGGTAAATTAGTTTAGTCGCTAAATGCGAGAGCTTTTTTGTAGGCCTCCATAGAGCTTGCAGCCCTAGACCCACCCCAAGCAAAAATTGTAGCTACGCCCATGCATTCTACCCACCTCATCTCAGGAAAATGTGGTAAAGAACAAAGTTTTAGAAAATTGCTATTTTAAAGAAACATATACAAAGTGTAAAATTTTAAGTGGGAATCAGTTTAGGGGTAATGGTACGTATATTAAATAGACGAGTTATACAGGGCACCCGGAATTTGCGTAGTAGTGCACTATCAGCGTTGCCAGTTATTTTTCAATCAACCCTACATTGTGCGAAGCTACAATGAAACATAATTTAGCAAACGTATTATTTTTGTATAACTCAGCTACGTGTTACTTTAAAGTTACTATTAAAAAGCGCCTAATATTAAAAACCATATAATTTCTTAAAAAAAATGTTTTTACTTTTTTACATGATTAATTAAATATTATCTAATGCGTTACAAGTTGCAAATATATTGTTTTAAATAAACTGTTTCACAGCGAAACTAATGAAAAATAATTTAATGAAAACATATTGCTTTTCTATGGCAACGACGTGTTATTTTAAAGTCACCATTTTTTTTTTATGTCAATATTTACGAATTAACCAATATATGTAAATATGTTACTAATTGTAAATAATTTAAGTTTTAAAATAATTATTTACTGCTTGAGTTTTCTGTTAGATTACTTGTTAAGTATTGTTTCACAGTTTCTCTTATTTAAAGGAATTAAATTTTCGCTTATGTGGAATGATACTGCATTGATGATAGAACTCCTAACGAACACGACTCAACAAAAGTAAATCGCCAAAGAGCAGTACTTCAGGACGAGTGGTGTGGTAATTTGCTTTTCAATAACTTTTCCCTTAAATGTGACATTGAACATCAAGGCATACTGCAGTTCACTAGTGTGCATGCGCTACGACTAACACACGCCATTGTTTGAGATAATACTATCTTATCTAGCGGTATGAAAATTATTAAAAAAGGCCAACAAAAATTAAGGTTTCACAACGGAATTCTAAAAAATAAACTATTGATACGTGTTTTTAAAGGTTAAAGGTTGCTCCCATATAAATATCACCACATTCAAAGTGACACCCTGTATAAAAAACAATTGACTGCTGCATTTCGATGATCCAAACCAAACTTTTATATTTTTTTAATAACACCCTATACATTTGTCGATTTTTAGAATACTCTCCTTTTTTGATTACAGTGAAATGTACATGTCATATATTTGCTTTAACAGTTTATACAATATTTTATTACCGACCATGATAAACTCAAGATTGCCATGAAATCAATGCACATGTTTTTCCACTATTAAATTTACATCTTTAAATATTTTATTATAAAAACAATATTAGTATATCTACTATAAAATGTGTTTTATAATTATAGATAAGAATTTTTTTAATCATCAAAGCATAATTTTATGGTCCGCAAGAAGTCTTTACTTGATCTCCTTGTAACGTAGTTTTTTTCAATGGGGTATTCTAAAAAATAAAGTAAAAAAAAAACTAATGAATAATATGACCTAATATTCAACGAAGTACTATCAATGAGGTGGGTAACGGGAAATGCAAAAAAAGAAAAAGACAACGACAAATATACAGGGTGTTTTAATCAAAAGAGCAAAAGTTTGGATTGTATATTCGGAATACAATTGTTTTTTATAGATTGATTTGAAATCATAAGAAACTTTCCTAAAATTTTGTATTTACCATTTTCTCCTAGATGGAAAGATAAATAAGATAAGAATGAAGAATATTGTTATTATTATGTTCACTGTTAAAATACCATGAAATTGAACATGAAAGAACATTATCGTTTTTCAAAATTTATATTTTTAATACAAAACTATAAAAAGTTTGGAGTTAATAATGATAAAAAATTAACAAGTAATAGTTTAAATAATCACATATAAATAAAGATTGACTAGTAATCGTTACTATTAGAGATAGTACAGTGCATTATATTTATATTTATCTATATCCCTTGAAATATTTGTATGACTTGTATGCATCATAACCATAAACAACTCCTGCCAGGGTGCCAACCATCTGAAAAGAAAAAGCAATGAAATAAATGTACAAAATGTCAAAAAAACTGAAAAAACTACTTAAATCTACAGAATATATCTGTCGGATCTTCCATATTCTGCATTTACAGCCTGGATTGACGTCTCTTGGCTGAATTTTTCATTTAACCAGAAACAGAAAACTGCTTTGTTAGAGATAAGGAAATGAGAAAGAGAGACTCCAACAAGCTTGCGAGCTTCAGCTGATGGCTTCTACGCATCTAACCGTAAATTGTTCGAAATGACTTCCGCCTCCGCCTGACGGTTGTTTAATATTTGTTTTGTATTCAACTACAAGGTGATGTTGGTCTTATTGAGTTAGTCCTGTATAAATTTAACAGCCGCTCAAATCAAATTACGCGGTAGATTTATTTGGAACAGGTCCGGCTCTATAGGGGTCAAAATTTACTTTTCTATTTGAAAAATTGTAGTATATAGTTTCATTTTTGCACTTAATATGAAAAACAGTCTGTAGATGTACTGGGGGCTCCGTTATAATTGCCCCTCCTTTGCCCCTCCTCCCTCCCCCCCCCATCTAACTCCCTTATAAAAACGAAAAATTTTAGTATTTTTTATATAGTTTAGAATTTTTATAAACTGTCACGTTTTTGACATACGAAAACAAGTAAGTTTTTTTTAATGAATCACCCTGTATATTTTTAGATTTTTTGAAACTACATATTTTTCATAACCATAGATATATATCATATATCCATAAACTATGTACATAAAAAATACTAAAATTTTTTGTCTTTACACTTTTTTTTCTATATACTTATTACAGTAAGCGGGTTAGATGGGGGGACGGATAATAATTATATCGGACCACCCGGTACAATACTACTAAAAATATGTCATATTAGTCAAATAAATAAGAGCCAAAATATAGTTTTCCAGGTCGCAAAATTGAGTAAGCCGGCCCTGAGTAAAAGGACTGGAAATGAAGATACGATTCGATCTATTTCAACGGAGTATTTTTTTATATTTCATAAATATTTTCTACCCTGGCAATTTTAACTATAGATTTTCGTAAAGATTGAAAAGCCTTTAAAATGTCGCCCGTACCTAACTGATGGAAATACATTTATATCACGATTTTATTTAAAATATATTAACTATCTTATAAAAAACATATTTTATTATCAGTTCTCGCATTTTTCAAACAGTTGTTTTTTTTTAATCTTATCAAATAAACTCAAAGTTTTTCAATACCAAGAATCTAGGTATCTATACAAAATATATAAAACCTCATTCCTAACTGCTGATATTGCAGCAAACAACTACTTTACGAATTAGATGTCCCAACATACAATAGGTACCTAGACTGATATCGAAGAACAATATTTGACTTCATTTCAAGTTTTAATTTTTTTTGTATTTGTAAATAGAACAAAGATGCGAGAGCTAATATATTTTCTAAAAGAAATTTAGTAAAAAGGACAAATATTTTTTAAGATAAAATTATAATCGATCTAGTGACAAGCTTTTGACACTATCGATTCAAAAATTAATTTTTTTATAAAAGTTTCATTTTTATATACAGGATGTTTACGGTATTGTGTTTTAATTTTCAAGGGGTAATTAAACATCTTAAAAGAAGGTCATTAACCTTAAAATGTCTTAACAAAAGTTGCATAATAAGAGAGATATTACTGTTAAATTTTTTTTTTTAGTTCTTACTTTTTTATTTTTAAGTGGCGATTGGACACCTTAAAAAAGGTCATTAACGCTAAAACGATTGATCAACGACTTAAATAAAATCTAAATTCAAACGATAGGTTATTAGGGAATTTTTTATTAAGTAGGCTGATGTCAGTAACTATTCCTATCTGTCAAGCTGCTTCATCAGTTGTCACTGCATTGTTGGTTTGACATAAATTCTTCCGAATAAATCCTAATAAGGAAAATAAATAAGTGGATTGATCCATGGTATATACCAACAAAATAATGGATTTAGGTGATCTTCGTAACCGAGTTGAGACAGCTGCTACGACAATTCGACGACAAGACTAAGGCCTAGTAAATTATGACAATACGTCGTGCGAGACTTTGAGTTCAACAACACGGCGATAACTTTGAACAACTACTGTAAAGTGGATTCCACGAAAAAAATAAAAATATTGTTTAATTTAATATACTCAATCACCCCTTAAAAATAAAAAAATAGACACAAAAAAATGTAACATTAATTATCTCTCTTATTATGCAACTTTTGTTAAGACATTTTAAGGTTAATGATCTTTTAAGATGTTTAATCACCCTTTGAACTTAAAAATACAAGACCGTAAACATCCTGTATATACCATATATACCAATATACCATGGGTGACCCGAAATTAATGCAACAAAATTTGGTCACAGATTCTCAAGATAAATTTAGTACACTAAATTTGGTACACACGGGTTTTATAACATGTGGAATCTGATGGTGATACGCTTTTTGGCCCCCTTAAGACAATTTTTCGTGAGCTTTGGAGCCAAAAAAATTTGGTCGCATATTTAAATTTTTAAAAATTATTAGTCCGCTCGAAAGCCATTAAATTTAGAAACTTTTTTGGCTTTTGATGCTTTTTTCGTAAAACGCAATGTTTTCGAGAAAAATGTCAAAATGTGATCGAATGAATATCGTGATTCGCCATTTTCCTCAAAAACATTGCGTTTTACGAAAAAAATATCGAGAGACAAAAAAGTTTCTAAATTTCTAGCTAATTTGGGGCTTTCTAGCTAACTAATAATTATTGAGAAATTCAAATTTGCGACTAAATTTTTTTGGTTCCAAAGACAAAGGGGGCTCACGAAAAAGGGGATTCCCCCTCCAAAAAGCATAGCATCAGATTCCACATGTCATAAAACCCCTGTGTACCAAATTTAGTGATTCTCGTATAACAGGGTTCTGATATATGTACATATAACAAAGACTATTCTTACTTGGCAAACAGAAAAAATGCGGGTCCCCTAAATTTGTCTAAAGAACCTATGACTAAATTTTGTTGCATTAATATCCGGACACCCTGTATATATTTTTTCTTGTTAATATTTATTAACTCCGTACGAGAAGGCTTGCTACCTAATGAAACAATCCCAAACAAAATGTGGAAACAGAGAGATCTCTTTGTAATAACTATTTTTTACGTGATTAGTCTTTGCCAAAGGTGGAAATAGAACAGCAAGAATACAGAATATTTCTTTAAATGATCGTATTGTTTAATGATATATACCAGGAAAGGAAACATTTTGAAATTTATTAATTACTGGGATTTTATTCTTGGAAAGTCTTGAGAATGATGATACAAGCGTCTCATCAAATTATGGACAAATTTAATTCAAATTAACAGGGCATAAAGTTTAAACCTTCATTTACAAAATGTTAAAATTTCAGGTTTTAATGTTTATAGCAAATTGCTCAGTGATTTAAAAAAAAAAAATTGCGCACCTATGGGTTGAAGAAACTTTTTTTTCAATTTGTATGTTTTTTACGAGCTTTCGAATGGTGTTTATAATTTCTTTCAAAAGTTAAAAATAGCGGAGTTATTTTATTTGTTTATTAGGGAAAAAAGTGTTTTATTTGGTAACCATTATATGTAGGTATACAACTAATTTTGAAAAAAAAAAATATTTTTTTTAACTAGAGGATATTTGGTGTCCCTTCGAAGAAAATGAGCCCAAAAAGAATATTTTAGTCATAACCCTGCCCCTGGAATAGTCATTTCAAAATGGGCCTTTTTGCAAAAATGGGATAAATAAATGGAATTTTGCAAAAACTATTTGACCGATCGAGCACATCTTTTGCACATCTCTTAAGGATATAAAAACTCACATTTTGGGAAAGTTTGGTAAAATTTTATTAATTATTTAAAAAGTTATTAACAATTAAAGAAAAAGCACTTTTTCCGTTTAATCTTGCAATAAATTTTTTGTTTATAAAGCAATGTTAACTTGAGAGCCCTAGTATCAACGGCGGCAATCTCCACCATTTTCACTTTTTGTTAAAGCGCAAAAAACTACTACACTCTTATTACTGCTTAATTCAAAGGAAGCATAGTTTCCAATGAAAGAAAATGCTAAACTACGTTAGATTTTAAGGTTAATGTACCTAAATTTTTTATATTTTCTGAATAAATGTACAAAAATAAATGGAGAATGCCGTGTTTGATACCAACAGTTGGATTTTGCAAGATTTGTTACCAAAGGTTGCACTAAAATGAGTTGTAAAATAAATACCAAGTATTTTGGAATGGACTTACAGACAAAAGAATAAAATATTAAAATTAATTCAACAAAATGTATAATCAAAAATAAAAAAAAACTAACTAAATAATAATAAATTCCTAACTATCTGAAACAGCATGTCGTGTCACGTCACGTCATATGTTCGCTGTGAGCCATCTGATTGGCCAAAACGGATATTGCCGACTCTGATTCTAAGCGGGTAATGGAGATTGCCGGATTTGATTCTCAGGTGATGTTTTAATGCAGTTTTGTATTGGGATAAAGCCGCTTTTGATAATCGCAAACCATATATTTAGACAGAACGCGAAAAACCGAAAAATATCATGTATTTAACTCGATTTCGTCAAAAAGTGGAGATTGCCGCCTTTGATACTAGGGCCCTCACTTATAGTCTCATTTAAAGATGAGTTTCTCTAGATCAAATCGTCTGTTGAACATTTTTTGCTAAGATTAATAGTTTTTTTACAATAACGCGTAGAACAAAAAATTACGAATTTTTTACCTATTTGTTGATAAAAAAAACAATTACGCTATACTTTTTTCATGACCCATTTGATGAGACGGCTCTTGTATTATCATTCCCAAGACTTTCCAACAATAAAATCACGCCCAGTAATTTTCTTGATGATTTTTCACCTTTATTTCTTGGTCTAATAATGATTTCAATATATTAGTTATATGTTTTTTAATTAATTGTATTTAGACGTATCATTTTTGGTTTTATTTTGGTTAATCATTTATTATTAGCTGTTTACTATAGTCCGTTTGGAAATGAAAGAAAGTAATAAAACCCCGAGATAAGAACCGGCCATGGGCGTGGTAATATTTCGTTTCAGGTAATTATCGGATAACACCAATGCTAACAAAAATGACAGGGATTGGAAAATCGACTATCTACAGACTTTTAAAGGAAACAAAAAATGAACAAGATACTCTAAATCCCCCAAAATCATCTACAGGGAGGTCAAAAGTCGTTATAGATGATTTCTTCAAAAATGTCATTCGCAGAAAAGTACACTCATTTTATTTTAAAAAAGAAATACCAACGCTAAACAAAATTTTAAGTGAACTTTCAGATGACAACGATTTGCCAAAAATCAGTAGAAGCAAATTATGGGCCATCTTACGAGAGTTGAATTTTTGCTGGGAAAAGCAGAACAGGAAGTCAGTTCTTATCGATAAAGATGAAATTATTTGTTGGCGAAGATCCTACTTAAGATCAATTAGAAAATTCCGTGACGAAGGGAGGAATATTTATTATCTAGACGAAACATTGGTCAATGAGGGATATACTGTTACAAAAGTATGGCAAGATTAAAATGTAAAAAGTTTTCGACAAGCATTTTTGGATGGACTTTCAACAGGGTTCAAGGCACCTTCAGGTAAAGGGCGAATATTAATTGTGACACATATAAGTAGTGGCAGTGGTTTTGTAGATGGCGGTTTACTTTTATTTGAATCTAAAAATACAGGTGACTATCACGAAGACATGAACGCAGATGTTTTCGAAGAGTATTTTACACAGATGTTGGATCTTATTCCTCCGGGGTCTGTAATTGTCATGGATAATGCCAGTTACCATTCACGGCAGAACGAGCGGACGCCTACGACTGCTAGGAGGAAAACCGATATAATTCAATGGTTATCCGGAAAAAAACATTTCTTTTGAAACAAATATGGTGAAAAAGGAACTTTTGACAATTGTCAATCTTAATAATGATCAGAAAAAATATGTTATCGATGAAATGGCAACAAATCGCCAAATAACGGTACTACGGTTACCACCTTATCACTGTGAACTTAACCCAATCGAATTAGTCTGGGCGCAGGTAAAAGGAGATGTAGCGCGAAATAATACGACGTTTAAATTAAGTGACATGAAAATTTTGTTAAAAAATTCCTTAGAACGAGTAACTGCAGATAACTGGCAAAGATGTATACATCATGTACAAAAAGAAGAGGATAAAATGTGGGAACTCGATAATTTAATTGACGTTACTGTGGAACCTATCGTTATCAATCTAGGAGACGAAGATAATTCATCAGAATATTCAGAGGATGAATTTTAATATACCTACTTTTTTATTTTCTTTATTGTACATTTATACAACACTACATTTACTCACCATAATTTGAATTTTCAAAATACATATATTTTTGTGTGGAATAAAAGTCTATTCATTAAATTTAAATAAATATTTTGATAATAATATTGAATAATTTTATTTGAATTACTAGAAACCCTCTTAACCCGGTTATGATGCTTAAAGTAGCCTCATGTTTTGAAATGCTGTTTTTATATTGTTTACTTATAAGAGAAATGGACGGAGAAATTGAAGCGGCTTAGACAAAGACGGATTGTCGGGGATTAAAATTTAGCTACCTGCTACAATTTAGTACAGACCGATGGCACAAAGTTTTTTTAAAAGTACACCTCATCTATACCGAAACTACATAATATAAAAATATTGAATATAAGCACCAGTACTACATTTATTTACGATTTGCATACATAATAAGCTTTTATTACTCTCTTTCATTTCTAAACAGACTGTAAGTACTGTCGTAGTATAATTCAGTACTAGTTGGAGCAGAGTAGTTGTTTCCCCCAATATTAGCAGTTAGGGTTTTTTTTTGTGGAGTTAAATATCTTTTCCATTTCTGGTATCGAAGAACATTGTTTGACTGCATTTGACAACTTTAAAATAGAGTAAAAAGACGACAAAATAATTATGAAAAAAAATACTCACGTAAGCGGCACTCATGGCAGGGTACACTTGGAAATATGGCGTCACCAAGTACATGGGTTGCAAAAACACATTCACTGCATACCCTAGGTACGAACAGGACGTTATGTAACTGAAAGCGGCAATACTATTAAATGCCGTTTCCTAGAAAATTAATATAGTTATGTGGTTGCAGAAGACCAGCGTTGTTGTACTTACGAATAAGGACGATTTGAGCAAATTGAATGACTTCTGAGAGAACACGTAACAGAGCATCAACAGGAAGCTAGTCATCAAACACCAAGAAGCGGTTGTTATAAAGGACAGCAGGGAAGCCCCTAGAGTTCCTGCGTATTGGACCCCGAAGTTTAGGGCCAAGCTTTGACAGAAGAATCCCAATCCCTGAGAAAAACGGCATTAAAAATACATACTCCATTTTCTATTTCTTTCATCTGTGTGTTTACTTGATTTTAATTCACTCACAATTTCCGCCAGCTTCAAAATCCCGGGTTCGGTCCTCAAAATGTGAAGCTGCAGGCAAGTGCAGCATCTGCAACAACAACAATGCACTCCGCCCCCGCCACTACTATGCACGGTCACCATCGTAGGCCCTCTGGTCCTTGGTTGATTCATTTTATTTTATTCACAGAACTGAACAAAGTTCGTCCGCGGTCAGAACTGATGGCACGATTACTGTGTAAAAAATCAGCGAGCACGTGTTTTTCACTAATGTACACTAGACGAACAGAACTAGAAGACAGAAGAGGCAACGTACTTTGTTGGGGTTAGGGGCTCCTATTTTTGGATTCGTTTATTTTAGGTCTATCCGGCTTTCGCGGTTAGTGTGACATTCTTTTGTTTATAAATAGGGAGCGTGACGACGCGTACGGTCGTGTGCCAATGGATATTTTTAGCTCTCAAGATGGCAGATGGTATACCTCCCGCAGAGATTTCTCGCTCGATGGTGTATTGGTCTAATTTCCCAGATAAAATTAGTTTTTCTGGATATTTGCGCAAGTAGTTTACGTTGCTGGTTGTGTTGACCAATTAATAAACAATGCACAATGAGACTAGAGGGGAAAAGCAAGCGCAAAAAATGGTGGAGGGTGATCCAAAAAGTAATGTAATCAGCAGTGGTAGCTCGAGAAATATGTGCTCATATTTAGATAAAACATAAAAATTTCGAATGAAATTTGCGAAATAAAAAATTGAAATAAAGGTAGCCTCCTCTCAAATCTTGAAGAGGGTTTCAGCAATATTTTTTTTTTTTTTTCATATTCAGCTGATGGGTACAAAAACTGTTTTCTTATTTTTTACAAAATTTTCATTTTTCTAAAGTTAATTATGAAAAATATTTGGTACATCTATGTGCAACCCTTTTCGATATCTCAGACTAGGCCACCTTTATCTCAACTTTTTATTCCGCATATTTCGTTCAAAATTTTTTTGTCATGGAAATTGTCTATGTGGGCCCAGAAATCATCTCAAAAAATGGTGTGGGTTCCTTGCCTCATTATCAAAATTTGATCACTTTAATTTTGACCAGTCGCCACTGGCCATCACTTTCTTAAAACTATGTATGCTTCCTTCCAAGAAAGTGCAGGGTTTCCTGCCGAAAATTATCACTTCCGTTTTTTAATTTTGTCTTTCCAGAAAAAATTTCCAATAAAAGCTTTATAATGAATGAAAAATTAATTTATATAATACATCTGTTTATTGAAATAGGTTGACCCTAATACACCATTCAATATACATGTATCTGACTAAGCCTAAAACACATTAACTACATTATACCTATAACTTACACACACACACACACATATATATATTGTTATGATTGTATGTGTGTATGGTTTTATATGTTAGCGCCAAAATAAATTTTGTTAGTTTTGATATTAATTTTGGTTGGATTGGTGTATTGTGTATTGTCTATCTTTGCCCTATCTAGCTCTAGACTCTATCTCCGTAGTCGGTTCTATATTCTAGCAAGAAACCACACCAAGCACAGCTACAAAAACAAAAGGTTTAGTAATAAATGTATTTATTAAAA